AAAAGTTAAAAGTTAATACACAATTTGTTTAACATATTAACTCGTTAATGCCCAAGCGCCCAGTGTTGAAACTTTTAAATGTTATAAGAATTAAATAATTACGTGTAAAATAAATTCAAACGTATATAAGATTAATTACATAAAAATATTTAATACTGATTTAGCTGGGTCGCATATAAATTTAAATCGAACGAATTAGTTTCACTTAACCTATACATGGCTTTCAAGCTACATCACCAATTCATTACTATTATCTAATGAAATATTCATAATAATTAGTTGTTAGTGAAAAAACGTTTTAATCAACGTAGATGACTTAAGACTGAGTGTATGGAGTAGGTATACCTAAATATTTATGAATTATGAAATTATGATCGATATCGGCATCATATTCACATGCGTTATTCGCATCAGGGATTATAATCTGTCAAAAGAGCCGTGTCTGCTATTAATAATTTTTGGTCATTACTGCCTAACTATTATTAGATACTCGTAATGCTTTTTTCAAAGATGCTGTGGCAAATATACTTAACCCACCTAATAGGTACCTAGTAATAGTGTTGGGCTCCACTTCGGCTACACGGCCAGCATATTATATAGGTAAACGAAAGTTTCTCCTAGTGGCTGATATAACGACTATTAACCGAATCGATTTGCATCGCTTTTAATAACAATATTATATTGTTACGTCTTATGTGGCATAGTAACTATTAAAATATTGGTACCTATCTCTGGTACAGTGGTATTCAAGCATACGGCCTATCGGTGACAGATTAAACGGGAATTTGTATGTAAATAATATTATGAAAGACACTTAGTTATACCAAGTATACAATTTAATAAATATGTCAATAAAATGTTAATTTAATAATATAATATAATATTTTACTTAATTTATTATTATTATTATTATGCATTTTGGTACCTAATCAAAAACATTTACACTTTATGCTAAGACTCTATGATGATGCATAACACGAATATAAGATGACACACTCTTCTAGGATATTTGTTTATTAAAATAATAAAATATTAACACTGCAATGGTTTATCGTGGCAATGATAAAAAACTAGGTACTGAGAAATAATTTTTGATTATCAAACGAAGCTGATTATTTTTTTTTTTTTAAATAGACTTACATGCAGGAAAACAATTATATAATTATATTTTTTTATTAGGTATCATCAGACTCATTCTAGACTCACTATTTAATAATTTAATTTCTGTGTTTGAGGGGGCTTCCGCTTTCTACAGACCCTCGGACAGCATTAAGTTTCACTCTACGTCACTGGTTTCACACAGCTATCTATTACAATTTTTAAACATTAAACTATAACACGATATAGGCCCTATATAGAAAAAATATTATGCAAGACACGCGTCCCTCAATTCTTTTTTGCGGCTCGCAGCCACCGGGATCATCTTAAAATTAAGTGAAAATAAAGAGCAAAACAAATAAATAGTATTTTCATTTTTTCTGGCAACTATTATATTAGAGAGGGTTTGGTAAGCATATTATACTATTTTCCCGGCAAAATTTGTACAAAATGATTTTTTCTGCGGTGGGCCGCATTGTGTATGTAATTTTTTTGGCTCATTTACGATTTACATACCTACCCTATGAGTACTTATTGGCCTCAGACTCTATAGTGTTATATTAAATAGTTTTAAACGACAGTGGGAAAATGTTTTCTTAAAATGATCGCGAAAGTATTTCAATTGAGTAAAACTACGATAAATGTTCAACAGTAGGTACCTAATATTATTTAACAAATGAAAAAAAAAATACATGAAAGTGTCTGCGTTGACTGCTGTAATTCTCAATGGTATACTATAGTAGAGGGATGACATTATATTATATTATTATTATGTCACAAACATTTTTTTCCATATAAAACATTCAAGCCAACATTAAAAACCACTTATATACGCGTACAAGGAATGACGATTTTACTTCTTAACATTCGTTAACCCATATCTCGCTAATGTACAGTTACATTCGTAACGTAACTTATTTGTGATGAGATCGTGTAGGAGTAGAAATTGAACATAAACATATAAATGTTACGCAATAAAAACTGCCACAGAACAGTCGTTGATCGATTGCCTTTGCTACTAAACCTGGCAACGAATATCATATTTAAATCAAAACAAAAGTAAACATGTGCATAATTATTTGATCTACCGCGGTGTGTAGTATAATATAAAAATTAGGAACAGACTTTTTCTTTTTATGTAATTAAATTATTGTGTTCGCCCACATACCTACATGTTAATTTCCTAATAGCAATTTGTTATTTTCTCGAATAATGTAATACGTATTATTCGGCATGCGAATAATCTGCGTAATAATGTTTAGAAATTAAAATCATTTATCTTTATAGCAGTAGTAGTAGCAATAAATATTAACACAATATACGTTATGGTATTATACTAAAAGTATCTCATATACTTATCATATTTTACTATGAAACTGTAAAAATGTAAAGCTGGGATTTAAATAGTTTTAACAATTTAATATACAATTATAAAACGAAAACAAACAATTAAATTTAGGAATTTAATTTAATTATAATATTATAACTAATAGGTACCTATGTGAATAACAATAAACCAATAGATAAGTATTAAAAGTTATCTGCCTACGCCTATTTATAAACATTATAACATAATTTATAATATTATAACATTGGGTAACTTCCTAACTTATTTTTATAATATGTTCAATACCAAAGTATAATATTGATAATTCATAAAAGATAAAATTATTATATTTTCATATTTTATCAAAATTTATATTATACCTACATAATACATTATAGATTAGTTGTTATATCTAAATAAATGGTATTTAAAAATAAAACATATTCAATCAGGCACTTTAATTTTTGATAATTTATCACACTCTGAAATAATATTGTACAGGTAATATTAATAACTCAAATATTATTTGTTTAGAATTAAGGTTAAGAATATTTCTTATTTTTTGTAGGTACCTTAACACATATTGAAACATCTTTTACCAGATCTAAAAATACATGAATACCTAAACTATAATTTCAAAAAATTAACAATTTTTATCCTTGAACTAAAAGAGGGGCTCTATGCACACAGAAATAACATTTATTTTAATAATGATTATTTTTGTCCAATATGTTATAAGATCAACCATCCAAAAAAAATAAAATAGCCCCCAACCAAAAGTTTAAATTCGATTAACTAAGTAATAGTAAGTTGCTGATAGATATAAGTCAAAAAATCATATTAAAAATGTAGAAAAAATGTTTAATTTTGCTATCCTAGTATATTGAACTTGCCTTGAAAAAAATAAATATTTCAATTGAAGGATGAAACAAATGTGCGCCGCCTCCTCCATAGTTATGACTTATGGTCATGAGTACCTGTAGCAACTACCAACTATTGAACTATAGTAATTTGTCTAGACATCTCTGATTCATCATTATACTGAAATCTCTTAATATTGTATAAAATGCAAATAATAAATTAAAAAATGAAATACCTAATGTAAATAAAAATGTTGTTATTGACATACATAAATGAAAAATATTCAATTAAAACTTATTGGGCTTATGTTGATTATTTAGCATTTCCATATTCAAATGTGCACGTAGTTGTGCCTAATAATAAGTTAATTACGAATAAATAAAGTTTGGCAATAATGAACATTTCAGGTCATCCATGAATGTTGGCTATCAACGGTCACGAGCCGCACGAAAAACTATTAATTTTTAATACCCATCGAACATCCATGTTTTTCGGCGAAATTCAGTCAGACAAGGTTTTATCGTGCATAATTTGAACAAATATCTCATACCTACCTTTGGCGAATAATAGGTAATAATAATGTTATCATGTTCGGGTTGCGTCATCTGTGTGTTTAGAGTCGAAATTCGAAATTATAATTATATTATATTATCGATGTTCACATCGGGAGCCTAAGGGTTAACAATTTACAGTGAAAACAAAAACAATAGACCGACGAGTAGTCTTTTAGGTACTATTCGCAGGATCGGCAGGTGGTTTTGCAGTTCGCCCCGTGGAAACGATACATCAAAATAATACCAATTACCTTATATATCATATACCTATCTTCAGCTCTTCGCTATACATTGGAACGCGCGAGGTAATAATAATAATAATAAGGACCGAGGCTGCTGCGTAACACTTGTCGACACGATAATCTCGATTATAATATTTTATATGTATATACGTATTATATATTTTGTATTTTCAATAGCCCCGCACCACGGTATTTATATAGGTAGTAGGTACCTATCTGGTATATACCTATATACTGCAACACTCTGATGGCGTGCTTATAATTTCATTTGGTCGGCACTTTACCGCAGCCGATTCAATACACTTAACGCATAATGGACATAATAAGCACACATTTAATCGCAATATTTTTACCTTCGGCGCACGTTGACGTTTACCCATATTTATTTTCTGGAGTATTTATTATTATTATTATTATTATATGAATCATGCTCCACGAAGTACACATGTAATTTTACTCCAAGTCCATACGTAACATCGCGGCGTGTTTCCGTTGCGATAAATAACCAATCGTTACTAGGAAGATCACGACGCTGCCTCCGGTAATGACACTTGACCTCAGTTTAGTATCGTATAGTTGCATGGAGCAATATTACATCATTGGAATCAGACGATGAATGGGGCTGATTATATAGATGAACTAACCCAGTGCCATCTCGGTCGTTTTTTTTTTTTTTTTTGTTACAACCTAGATCTTACATCGTATGCTAATTTCAGTTGCACTCCGTCGGCGACTATATAAGACGTCCCCGCCGCAATCAAAGTAAATCATTTGTGATAGTGCCGTCGAACGGGAAAAATACCAACTCCTCCGTTGCTGTTTATAACTATTCCAGTGTGCGTAAACCTATCTATCGTCTACCTCGTATAAATACTGTACACCTTCGTTTCACACTTAAATATTATCCACCGCACAACCATGAGCCAACAAAAGGTAAGCGAAAAACATAATACTATTGTTTACCTACACAATATAGGTATTAGGTACCTACTACACAACGCGAATATTAATTTTAAAGCACTACGCGTTCTACATATCTGATAAAATTATATTAAATATATCATTACGTCTTGTTAGCATACCGCTGAAAGTTACTGCAACACGTGTACCTAAACAATTAAATTTAATCAAACAATTCATTCGTTGTTATATTTTATTTTCACATTAAATTAATTAAAAAGATATTATAGTCGAAAACAATATAGTACATTATTTAGTACAGTAATATTATAGTAGGTACCTAGATCTGCTAGATCCAAAATGTACCCAAGTCTATAATTTATTGAATGATAATTTTCATTTTCAATTAGATATTAATATTTTTTATTTTTAAATTCTAAATCATATCCAAATGGTCTTAAAGCATCTATATACTTACTTTTATTACTAAAATATATACGAACAAATATTCAAGTCTATAGCTATTCTTTAGGTATCCAATCATAATAATAAATAATATTATTGAATAATGATTTGCACTAAATATTATATAAATTGTTTGATTTGAAACTTTTTTATATTGAAACCAAAAAAAGTTATTAGTACCTATATATTTTCCACAGAATGTATACAACACTATCTACTAAATTAATTTGTATAGAAACTATTATACGATTAAATTTGTCCATAATAGTAACGTATAATAATTTTTATAACGAACATTGCCCATTGCCAATGAAAATTTTAAAATTGCAATTCATAAAAGTATCTACCTAAAGACGCTTAGCAGTTTTACTACATTTTATACAATTTTTTTTTTTATATTTTATACAATTTCGAATACAGTTAATCTAACTTAATATGATAAAGTATAACAATAAGGATTTGATACTTTTAATCTATAATATTTTCCCAACTATCTTATGAATGAAATATTATAGAAATATTTTTTCTATTGAACAAATAATTCATCGCCAGTGCATACTGCATATTTGTTTATATATTGTTTTGTATATGAATTGTGTGTTGTGGAGTTGAGTGTACTTTTGTTACTTTTGTAAGAAAAAATATTATTATATTATTAATAATAATACATTCAGATACTCATGGTGTAGTAACGTCAGTTAGGTATAAAGTTCAATTATTTTTATTTGTTCAATATTTAAAAAATAAGCAAACGAAATAACACTCGATATTTAAAACAAATATTTTGGTATAATGATGAGCTTAAGATATTAAAATGCACACAAATATTCTATGTACATGTTAATATATATATTATGATGCCATGATTTTATATATAGTTAATTATTATATTTTAACTGTTTATCTTATTTTTTCTGTTAAATTATTATCAACTACATTGGAGTGATAAAATCATCATTTTACTAAAAACAACAGTTATATTTTCCCATCTCATGAATACGTATACAATTTTGAATTTTCGTAATGCAAAAACATTTTAGTTTTATACACAATGTACAATATCCAGTACCTAAGTTATATAAAGTAATTCTAGTCTACAATAATTTCAGTACCTAATTGAATACATAAGAATCTAATACGACACTGTACATGTAAAAGTTGTAATATAGCATAGGAGGTGTTAGGTATCCGACTATCAACAATACCTACCTACTATTTCAAAGTGAAATAAAATAACTTTTTAATATTTTATATTTATTGACTATTTATTAAAATATATTGTAATTTTTAGGTACTAATGGTACTATTTGGTACAATATTAACAATACTTATACATTTTATCGGTACTTTTTATGATGTAAGATGAGAGAGTTTTGAACATTTTCCAACTATATTTTTGGAAATGTTTGTTAATTAGGCACCTACCTACATTACACATGCTGGAGTTGTACAAATACCTACTATATAATATAATATAATAATATAGAATAAAGTATGCTTCTTTTATTTTTCGTAACCATATATGAGTCAGTACATCTTCGCTATTTTATGAAAACAAATTGTGACCTCTGATTAGTCATTCATTTGTCCTTACTCCTTATAATACGACATTATAATTTTTCTATAATTCACATAGGTAGGATCCTACAATAAAACAGTAAGCACACAATAGGTACCCACACATGATTTCATTTTTACAATTCATTCTTTGTAGGTACCCACTTATTTAGTTTTTTTCCCAATATTTCATACTTCCTGAAGAATATTGTAAATAAAACAAAAACGTCGTAAATTAAATAGGTTTTCTTTGTTGATATTCAAAACACATATAATTATAAAATGATCTTACCTACAACAACATTTTTTAGTATCGGCATAAATTATATAATTTAATCAAATTTTTTGTGTTATTAAAAATGATTCTTTTACATTATACTATGACATGCATATTATGAGTGTCAAGTGATATGACATAAAGATATTATGTATATTATATTTGTATAATTTCAAAACTAAATTCAGCGCTTTCATAACCATATTTCGTATTTTTAGGCCGTTGTCGTTCTATTATTGAATGTATTTTTAACATCATTCGTCTGTGCCCAATATGGTAGTCCTGCTGGCAATAGCAATCCCGGATACGGTGGTACAGGTACCAGTGTACCATCAGGAGATTATGGACACAAAGGCCAAAATCCCGTCGGAGGACCTAGTGGATCAGATGGAAATTCAGAAGTAAGTTCTATGTGCAACTTGTATTTTAAATTTTAATACAAACCATATTTTCACAATAAGTCGTTACTATTGGCATAACTAATCATAATTTTGCATAATGCAAATAAATGTCATAACAAAATATTAATATGTACCCACGTTAATATTGTTATTATTATAATACCTATGGTAGTTAACTATAAACAATGGTGCCAGCCGTCAGGTAAGGTATTTTCGTATTATATAGATATGAATATTATCAATCGAATTAATTACACCTTGGTATAATTATATAGTTTTTAAATAGACTTTACTTTTTTTTTTTTTTTTTTTCGTTTGAACCGACAGCAGAGGAGAATCTGTGTGAACACTACTACTCCTCAAATAGACTTTACTTAAAACTGTTAATTAGCATAAGTCATTGAACACAATAAGTACACCTATAAAGTATAAAGATTCAGTTTTCCTCATTTTTTTTAAAATGCATAATTTGTCGAAATTAGTTTCAATTTTTCAAATGTTCAATATGTAGCAATAAACTGCAAATTAAATTAATTATCACAAGTCCATATAATATTACTGTTGTCTGTTACCTATCAATTATTACATAAAATCATATTATTTTTTTTTTTCCTGTTAGTTATAATGTCTTGTAATGCTGTACAATATATGTAGGCTAATGTATGACTATAATAATGATAATATTTGGTCGATCCCTAAATAAAACGTTTAAATTAGGATATTAAAACTTATTATACTTACTAACGGCACAGTATTAAAATCAATTTATTTAACTATAGGAAAATTATTATTTAATATAATAGGTCAAAAATTATAAGAGATACTCCACATAAATTATATTTGACTTATTTATTTTATTTATATGACTACAATAAAGAGTACAATAACCACTGAATACTGTGATGTGTTACAACAAGCAAATTACCAAATCATTTTATTTTTAAGTACCTACCTATAGTCTGTGAAAATAATAGAAAACTATAAGTATAATAAACTTTATAAGTGTTAACCCATATTATAAAATACACATTAACCTATCGTGTCTAATGTGTATTTTTTTTAGCAACTATGTTGTAAAACTTGTGTAGTTAACGTCGCTGTAGGTAGGAACCTGTAAAAATAATACCCGGCACCTAAACATATTAATGACTTATTTTCGTACATACCTTTTTTAATAGTTGCTTCTGTTATTATTGGTTAAACAATTGTCTATTAACTTCATAAATTACGCCATAGTAATTTGCAGAAATTGGGCTAGTGTATATAATGTGAATTATATAAGATTTTTATTAGAATGCACAGTTACCTATATCTTCATGTTACCCAAGTAACAGTGACAATCGAATCAGTTTCAAGTTATAATTCTGAATTTGGATACAGCCATACAGTTTTAAGTTTACGGTATAGGTATAGTGTATAGTGTATACGGTATAGGCTTTACTCATTGTCATATTTAGTAGTAGGTACTATAGTCTACAGTTATTAGATATTTTTTAGTTTATATTATTAATTATATTGACTGAACAATGTTTTTGTCTGATTTATTGTAGCCCGAGCCTTTCAACTTTGCTTACCAAGTAAAAGATGCACCCACCAATACAGACTTCAAGCACGAAGCCAACAGTGACGGCAAACGAGTGACCGGAGCATACAGCGTACTTCTTCCTGACGGTCGTAATCAAGTAGTGACATATGTTGCCGACGAAAATGGTTACAATGCCAAGATCAACTATGAAGGAGAAGCAAAACCACAACCATCTCAACCAGGCAGCCAAGGAGGTTATCCGTCCGCACCAGGTTTCCCTTCTGCTGCTCCTAGTTATCCTTCCGCTGCCCCTGGTTATCCTTCCGCGGCCGCCCCTGGATATCCTTCTGCAGCTGCCCCTGGTTATCCTTCCTCAGCTCCTGGTTTCCCTTCTTCAGCTCCAGGCGGTTACCCATCGTCTGCCCCAAGCTATCCTTCATCGGCACCGGGTTTCCCATCGTCTGCCCCAAGTTACCCGACCGGCGTTAAAGGATCTTATGCCGCACCTCAACCCAAAAACGGAGGATATTAATTAATAACTCTGTAACGTTTGTTTAATTGATTATTTTTTAATATTTTAAGCAATTTTTTTGCCCTTGTACTTAATTATGTATTTTATTTTTTATTTTTCAAAAACAGTCAAAATAAGCTATAAATTGGTCGTCGACCAAATTGTAACAAATATTACGTACAACAAAATATTCATAAATGTATACCTACCGTATTTTGACTAAAAATAGTTAGTTAATTTAAATTATTTAATTATTTTATAACTAATAAACATATTGTTTTTTTTTATAAAATGCGTGTTTTACTATTATCATAATAATTAATATTTATGAATTAAAATTTATCAGATTAGTCATCAATAATTACTTTTGACATTCGTCAAGCTCAAAGTCGTTACACAGTTATAAACTATTTTGTGTTCTCTAAACTATACCTATATAGTTATACACTATAATATGTATCTTGTATCTCAATTAAAATTTTTGGACACCTCACAAAAAAAATTGTTTTCAGATACAGCCTGGTATTCATATCATATTATATATTATATACAATATAATAATATAAGCTTTATTTTAATATGATCCGATTGTGAATAAATGGCACAAATGACAAACATAGCAAATTGTATTATACTATAAATTGTAGGATGTACCTACTTCCGGATTGTCTATTGTAAAATTATTATACTGGTAACATTGGTAAATACATATGATTTTATTTTAAATTTAATTCTGACTTTTCCAACATATTAAGTTCCTCGCTTAATTTGATAAAATTATGTTTACACCCAATAAACTGTTAAAAGCCCAAAAGCTGCTAAACGAGTACATTTAAGCAGAATAATACATAATAATATGTTATCATTATATTATTTTGAAATTGTATTAATAAGAACAAAAAGGTAGGTAAGTGGATGTCGCTCTGCTGTACAGTAGCTTACAAGTGGGTCACTGTATAATGGATGCTATTAAATTTGAATTCAATGATACAATATCATTGTATAAGAAAAACGATTCTGAGTGAAGACGGTATGTCAGTCTAGGTTTAAGACAAATTATATACATATCTGTGGTATTAAAAAAAAAATTGACCTATAATAAATTCCAAATTAATCATATCACATTATCACAATATCCATTAGGTACTTATAACACGTTATACATCAACATCAATAACAAACCCTGATACTATTATAGATATATAATAGTACACTTTAGAAGTTTCAAGTAGGTACCCACGAATAATATTATATAATCACAACAAAATAACTAGGTTTTTAATATGTAATTTCGTCCAAATTTGAACATAAAGCGACTAAACTGTGATTGTATATTTTTTAGATTTTTGGGTAAGAGAATTAACTACTTACGTGGAATCTTGTTTTGAATTTTCAATCCTTAGCTATAAAAACTGAACATTTTATAATTTATTAATTACGATGATTAATAATTTTCGAGATTTTGAAAAATTCTGTTAAAATTCGATGTTTAAATGCTTATAAAAAAAAATTGTGCCTATGTATTTTTAATATTTTTCAACTGATATTGCAACAATATATCAGGATCCTTGTATTACATTTTTACACTTTTTGGCCCAACAGATAAAACTTCATTGATATTTATAGAAAAAAAAACTAAAAAAATTGAAAAATGAAAATATCCGTAAACAGCTAAAAAGAGTCAAAATATTTTCAAAATTGTATGGTGTATAGGAAATGCTAATATAAACATTCAGTGAAATTTTCATGTGTCTACAGTTATTCGTTTTTGAATTATAAAAAAATAAGGAAATCGTTACATGAGAAATCGAGTGAACATCCAATGTTGTAAAAATTTGAATTTCAAACGCTCATAAAAATTTAATTTGACTGTCCGGTAGAGATTTTTTTATTGATAAAGGTAGACAAACTTATGAGTAATCTTGTATTACATTTTCAAATCTTAGATTTAAAAAGAAAAATTTTTACGAATTCTTAACTCAAAATAATTTGCTAATTTTGTGATTTTTCCATATTTCGTCATTTTTTGAACTTTAAATGCTTATAAAAAAAAACTGTGACTAACGATTTTTAATATTTTTCATCTGCCTTTGAAACAATATACTAGCAGCCTTTTATTAAATTTTCAAGTTTTTTTAACCAAAAAATAAAATTTTATTGATATTTCTAGAAAAAAAACTAAAAAAAAATGAAAAATGAAAATGTCCCTAAACAGTTCAAAATAAATCAAAATATTTTGAAAATGTTATCGTGTATAGAAAATGCAAATATAAACAACCAGTGAAAATTTCATGTATCTACGGTAATTTGTTTTAAAGTTACACCAAAAACCAAATCAATTTTCTGAAAAATCGATTTTGCGTAAAAATTCCCGTTTTTATTTAATTTTTCTTTTGTTTTGCTTGGCGCTTTTGAAAATTACTGGGAATTTGACCCCCCCCCCCCCCCAATGCACCAAGTACCAACGATATTCACTTTCCAATCGAACAAGATACTGAAGTTGAAAATCAAAGCATTATTTCGACTACTTATCGTGTACACAGACACAAAAATAAAAAATAAAACACACATCATTGTAAAATCAATACATTCATCGTTTCACTCAGAATCTAAAAATAAAATAAAACAATAATTGAATTGTACATCAAGAAAAATTATTTATTATATTATACGATATACCTACCTAATAAGTAATAAGCAGGGCAGCAGGGGTCGGAACTTAAAGCATTTGTTTATTTTTATGGATTTACTCAATTATAAAATTTGAAAGTGATTTTTTTTAATGATTTTTCAAAAAAATGCTTACATCCAGTTTTTAACCAGTTTTTCTACTTTTTTACGAAAAAATGTTGGAACTATAATGAGAATCAATTTTTCTGATTAATATTTATATATAAACAAGTAGCAACTTTATTAAATAAAATATACAAAAGGCGGACTGCTCACCAGTTTACTGCTGAGTAGGTAGGTACATTGTATACAATACGCATTATAGTATTATAGTATTAATAGTATTATACTTATATTATATTGATAGAGGCTGTCACTACACACACACATTTACGAAAAAAATAAATTACTACACCAAATAGAAATAATAAGGACTTCTGGACATCTAGTGCTGGCTAAAATAAAAATAAAAAGAACCACAAAATAATAGGACGCGACACTATTTAAGGGGTTTAGTCTAGTCAATTTTAATGGAATAAGGATGAGGTTATATAGAAAAACGGATTCAACCGAGGAAAACTTACGATTACCTAATACATACTATTAGTACCTATACATTATTCGTAGTAGATTTCCCAAATTTGTACACTACATAAATTAGAGCTTTATCTGTGTTGTTTCGTTTTTATTTTTTTTGTAAATAAACTCTAACATTTTTAATAAACATATGAGAAAACAAAACAAAAAAAAGCGGATAAGTGGGTTGCTCTGCTGTACAGTAAGTTACAAGTAGGTCACTGTAATGGATGGTGTTCAATTTGAATTCAATGGTACAAAATTATTGTATACAGACAACAATTCTGAGCGAACACAGTCTGTCAGCCTTGTAATATTATGAATAAATAGGTATATTTAATGATATTATTTTGATTAAAGTAATTTATTCTACTATTAAGCATTAAAACAACAGTAGGATAAATTCATTTTGGTCAAAAAATTACATTTTTATCAATATCATTGTGTGTATAAAATAAAATGATATATGTACTCTAAAAGTTTCATATACCCACAAATAATAATTTTAAATTACAAAAAAAAAACTAAAACCGTTAATCATGGTTTTAATATGTAATTTTGTCCAAATTTGAACTTAAAATATCTGTAAAAAATAATTATGTTTATAGTTTATACATATAGGTATTTTTTAGATTGTTTGGTTACAAGATTTTGATAAACTTTGTCAAAATCTGAACTTTAAATACTTATAAAAAAATTGTGCATATGGATATTTAATATTTTTCAACTGCCATTCTAACTACATATAAGGAACCTTACATTAAATTTTCAAGCTTTTTTACCAAGTTACCCAACGAATAACATTTTATTGAATAAAACTTAGACTAAAAAATTTCAAATTTCAAATGTCTATAAATAATTCAATAAGAGTCGAAATATTTTGAAAATTTTATCATGATGAGTAGAAAATGATAAAATAAACTATAAGTAGAATACATAAGTATACATGGCATAATGTTTTTCTCCCGGATTGTAAATAATAAATATTATAGTTTAAATATTTAAAATTATCATTATTAAGGCTGTGAATTTAATGCACTAAAAAACCTAAAAATTGCATTAAAAATGTCAAAAAAAATGCAATAAAATATGCACCTAAAATGCAAAATATGCACTTAAAATACAAAAAAAAAAGGAATATAAAATGCATTTAAAATGGTTTTTAATTTAATTTTTATATTTATATTAATATTAGGTACAGGATATTAAACATTAGTATAAAAAAATGTTTATTTATTAAAAAAAAGCAATATAAATGTTGATTGAATTTAAATTTACATTTGCATTAAGTTAATGCTATTCACCTGAAACATTTTGAAAATTTTTTTTGTATTTATTTTGTTGAAATAATAAAACAAACGTAAAGATATTTATTTCCGGGTACCTTATTTATCTTTAGTATTTACTAGAGACGTTCTGGACAGTTCAGTTAACTGGAGAATTTTATAGCCTGTGTAAAATAAAAAAAAAACTGAAATTCAAAACATTAAAAACGTCTAAAAATGAAAAAAATATGCAAAATCATAGATAGATACGTAGTTACATAATTCAAATTATGTACTAACAAAGCTATGTTTTACAATTACCAAAAAAAAATTCACTTTCCTATAAATTCACAGCCCTAGTCATTATAAACTATAAAGTGTAAGCGTACCTAAATCCTACAAACTAAATTAAAAGAACATCAAAAGATAACATAGACGGACATTAATTCCTCATTATAAAATTATTTTGCGTTATGTAAGATTTTTGGGTTATTATACAATATGGTTGAC